GGGGATGCTGTCGCGGAAGAAGACGCGCACGGAGCTCTCGAAGCCGGGCGAGGTGCAGGGCAAGTACGTGAAGAAGGAGACGAGCCCGCTACTGCGCAGTGAGTGTCCGGGGCACGCGGCATCTCGGTGTTTTGAGGTGTTTTCCTCATGAACGGGGAAAAAAATCATCCTGTGGGCAGCGAGGAGTGGCAGGGGTGACGGCTGGGAGAGAGGCGGGACCGCACCAGCACGCTGTAAACAAACATTTTTCCCTTTTTTTTTTTTAAAAAAGAAGTTTCTCAGGCCCAGTTGCTCATTCTCAGCAGGCAGCGCCCAAGCAACCTTCGAAGCAGGTACCACCGAGGTGAACCACACGGTTTATCCCTCCCCAAAAGCCTGGGGTTTCCCGGTGTGGGCTGTGTGTGTGCACTCCAAAAATGAGATAACTGTGCGCGGAGGACGGAAAATCCCTGTGGAAGCGAGTGCTCCCGCTCCGCTGCTGAACGGACGGCGCCGGGGCGCTGATCCCCCTCCAGCTCCCCTGGCCGCAGTGCTGCGCCTTCCTTCTTATTCTATTTTATTCTATTCTATTTTATCTTTTTGCTACGCTTTTGCAGAGCGGTGCCTGAAGCGCGCAGGAAATGCTGAAATGCACCGTGCAACAGTTAGTTTTGCGGATTAGCCTCGAACCGCACCGAGCAGCAAGGAGTTGGCAGGCAGGAGCAGGCACTCGGCTTCTCTGGAAAAGAAACAACCTTTTTTAGTGGTATCTCTCCAGCCTCATCACTGTAGGCTTAAAAAAAAAGGCTTTTTTAATATTTTGAGTTGTTGGTGTTTCTAATGGGTTAATGTCTTTTATGCATTTACATTATTCGTTGTTAGTTAATGACCAGCTATTACCAGGTTACTTTGTAATGACTGTTATAAACTTATAAATTACACCTAGTGAGAAACACCGAAATTTTGCCTTAAGTTTTAAGACGGTAAGAGTTTATTTGTAAATTGTAAATACCAGGCGTGACTTCTACGTAAATGAAACTTAGAGTTTGTGTTAGCTTACCTGGAGGAAAACTGCTTATTTGTGTCATGCTGAAAGTAATGGCAAGGAGAATATCACTTATTGCAGGGGAGCAGGGAAATTGTGTGAATAGTTATCCGTGTTCATGTGCTGAACATATTTAAAGGGGAAAAATGAAATATCTTTGTGTTCATTTGAGAACTTATGTGTGCAAATGACATCATTCTGCTGGCTAAGCTTTGTTGTTTATGGAGAAAATACAGATTATGTTCCTGGCTCTGCCATTGATTCCTTTAGGCATATAAGCATTAATGTATTCAGTTACTGTAAGTTCATAACGATAATTGCTCCGATAAGACAGGGGCCAGGAAACTTGGATTTCTTCCCGGTAGCCAGGAAACTTGGAGGTGTGAAGCCTGGCTGATGTAGCCACAGTCAAAAGCGTGTGGCTTTGTTTCGTTTTAGTTTGTGTATTTATTTATTTATTTTGCAGATACACCATTTATCCACCAGGGCGTGAAGGTTTTTGTTGCCCCAGCACAAACTGCTGCATTACAGTTTTACTTGTCTCCACATCAGAGGCCCTCTAAAGGGGTTCTGGCTTTTGAGTTTCCTGAATACCACAGCGTAAATCAAGTCTTGTGGCTAACTAAATAACTTTGTATATGGAGCTGAAATTCTTATTTCTGTGCTTTGTTTTGTTTTTCCTGTTTTATTCTGTAACAGATCTGATGCCTTCGTTTATCCGCCACGGTCCAACCATTCCAAGAAGAACTGATATCTGTCCTCCTGACTCCAGTTCTTCTGCCTATGCTTCTGGTGGAGATGGGATTGTTTCCAGAAACCAGAGTTTCCTCAGAACTCCAGTCCAGAGGCCACCGCATGAAATAATGAGACGTGAAAGCAACAGGCTGTCTGCACCTTCCTATCTTGCCAGAAGTTTAGCTGATGTCCCTCGGGAATATGGCTCCTCTTCCCAGTCTTTTTTAGCAGAAGCTAATTCTGCTATGGAAAATGGAGACGCTGGTGCCCGTTGCTATTACTATGATCATTTTTATGATGCCCAGAGGAGGCGTCAGTTGAATGATCGTGTGCATGAGGACTACAGGTATTATGAACACAACAGTGATCTTTTCCAGAGGATGTCACAGAATCATGGGAGGCACACTTCGGGTAAGCACTGATTAAATGTTGTTTTTTTTTATTTTTTATTTCTTCAGAAGACTTTCCTGCACAACGACTCCTGGATACTCATGGTTGTATGTTTTAAATGTAATACCATAGAGGGTGGAGCTTCTTTTTAATGACATTTGTTGTTTGAGTTTGCTACTTCTTTATATTTCTCAGAATAAAGAGCTAAATCACGTGTATTAAGAAAAAAAGAGAAATATATTTGAACCGCTGACTATTTATATAATAAGTGAGATAAACTTGAGTAAGGATTGGTGGGTTTTTTAATGAACAATATTGGATTTCATCTACTTTGTCAAGAGCTGTATAAATGTTATTAGATTTTTTCCTTTACAAATTATGAGTGAACAGATTATGAGTTACTGTGAACCATTTTTCTTATCAAGAGAGTAATATTCTGAGGAATACTATTAATTTAGATTACGTGCAAATACAGAGAAAGTAATACTGTGGAAATTGTTTTCACTCACATTGCTTGGAAACAGGGGTTTCATTCGTTAGTAGACATCTACTATTATCATTAAATATATGTAGAATGATCAACAACTCTAAACTAGTAACACTGCAGTTTTAGGTAAAATCAGAGGGAGGAATTATTGCTTTACGTAATTTGTTAACAAATTTATGTATAGTTAGTGCCAAGAATGACTTCTTAGATCATATATGCCTACATCTTTCTCCCTCAAATTCCTTTGGACCTGTCTTCATTTTCTAATGGAACAAAGCTTTGCAAATAAGCTTGAAATAATATATTTTAAATATGAAATACATCATTAGTTGGTCATTGTTTGTAATCTCTAAACAAAACTGTGAATCTGTGTAGAACAGAAATTCTGCTAGTAAAAATGCCAGGGCTGTTGACCTTGTGTATGGAATTCTAACCAGGCAAAGCTTTTTTCTTGTTGCAAAAGCCTTTCAATGAATGGTAGCAGAATAGTAATGCTAGCAGTAAATAATTCTAGAATATTTATGTTCAAGACTTGCTTTATGCTTTTTGTTTGTTTTGCTAAACGTTAAGTAGTATATCTGATTTGTATGTCAGTTTGTTCTTGAGCCAGATACCAAGTGCCTGTAAGTGTGTCCTGAGGGCTGCAGGGAGGAAAGGCAGTCAGGAGGGGAGGTTTTATTAGAAGAATCCGTCAACTTCAATTCAAAATGACTATAGTAACAGTGTATGCTTAGGAAAGCTTCAAAGAAGTGTTGCTACTTTGTACAATTGCAGTAATATTTTTTTTAAAGTGGAGATGGAGCTCTAGCAATCAGTTTTAGAGTGAACTTTAGTTGATTTTTAAAACAATCTGAAAATACATCTTTGCAGTTGTATTTTTCCCTTTTATCAACACAGGTTTCTTTCAGAAAAGACTTTGCTTGATAATTAGAAAATGTTGAGGAGCTGCTTATACTTGATCGCACTCTGTTATTTGCTGTCATTTTTACCATTAATAGTCTAACCAATTTTAGGTGTGTTTTGCAGCAGTGATAGAGTTTTTTTTTTATGTATTTGTAGAGAGAAGCAAAAACAGATGATCCTTTCATCTGCCAAAAACTATTACCCTTCTCTGTTTCTTCTTTCTTCTCAGAATGAAATATAAACTCTTAAAACCGCTTGTCAGATTTCCTTGCAATAAGAATGTGGACGTAAATCTGTAGCTACTGTACTTCTCAAGAATTGCTATTACTCAGTTTTTTCTTAGTAAAATAATTATATGGCCAAGTGTAAGAAAACATTAGATTTTTTTCTTAATTCTTACATTTCACTGTTGAACTCCTTTGCCCTCCTCCAGCCTTTCCCTTGAGTTCCATCAAAACCTTCTGTAATTTCTGATATCTTCTTTTCCCCTTTGCCCTTCTTCTCTCGTTTCCAAAATATGGAGACAGGTCTTTTATTGTCTTTGGGACCTTGTCTTAATTACTTTTTCCTTATACCTCTCCAATGTAATTCTGAAGTGTTCCAGCTAATCAAAACAGTTTTTAAAGATAATTCATGTCTGCTGTTTAGAAAATTGCCTAATACCCACAGGTTTGTGGTATAAGTCAATTTATTATCTAGGATCTGTCAGTGCTGCTTTCTACTCTTTTCCCCCACGTTCCTAAAAGGTTCCTTTGGTTCCTCTGTTATGGTTTGACTTGACCACTAACCAAGCGTTGCCTGATGCACACAGGGTGTATTAATTAATGGTGAATGGTTTGACACGGGTTATGGCTAATCTGAATTTTGGGAACTAGTGGTCTGGAAAAAAAAGTGATGCAAAAGAATTTTGGCTTTCAGTCAAAATAAAGATTCTGTTCCTTATGATTTTGAGGTAATTTGAAAGTGTGTTCTGACTGAGATCTTCGTGCTCAAAAGTATTCAGGAAAGTATTTAAGCAAATCCCTTGATATTCGAACAGTTTGTTCTGATAATGCTGACACCTTTTACAGGCGTTTATCATTAAAGTTGTGTTTTCCCTCTCAATAAGATTTAATTGTTGGTGTCCGTTTTTTATCCTCAATGGCTTAATTGGCAACCTAGAAGTGCTTTTCCTGAAAAATGTCTTCAGTTTAGACGTTCTCTGTTCATATTTTTGGATGTTTAGCTACCTCTGTGGCGTTTCTTTACTACTTTTTTTGTTTATTTTTCTGTGTCCGTTTTGAACTTAATTCTAAGAGACTTTACCTGTCTTTCCTCGACATCTCTTTCCTCTCTTCTAGGTTAAAGGTTTTGGGAGGTCTGTGGTTGAAGTTATATCTACAGTATAGATTGGAACTAACTTGTAACCAAGACCTCAGAGTTATTTGTACCTGTGTGAGCGGTAAGCTACTAAATTCTTACATGTATATGAAATTTGCTGAGATTTTAAATCACAGTGTAGAGAGATTCACTGATGTGTTGTAAGAAGCTGGCTGATATCAGAAGAAGAAAAATGATCAGGTCTGTGAAGAGTGAATCCAGGGAGCTCTAGTGAGAGTAGGTTCACAGCCTATTAAATTATGCCTCTTCATGATTGCAAACTGGTGTTTGTGTTTAATAGGAGACCAAAAGAGAAGCAGAAATTATTAAATGGAACCTATTTAGAGCTTAATTAGCAGAGTTGCTTTAAGTGTACGCACCTACTATCTCTTTTTTAAAATACAATTCCTGACATTTTCCCTTTTTTTTGTGATGATTCTGCAGTAATTTTTTGCAGCGTACTTCTCAAAGCATTGAGAGTACTTCCTGCCACTTCCTATTTGTGAATTTGTGCTTACTTGGAATGTCCTATTCTCTTTGACCTATGAGATGCTTGTGTTCAGGAAGTACCTTCGGAAATTGGGAGGTAGATTAGGAACGCACAGAGACTGCAGATCCAGCTAAACTTTTTTATTATTAATTCCAGTTAATTAACTATTATTTACCCCCTTAAAATTAAACAGTTTGTTTATTTTCTCTTCCTGTTCCTTACTTGTTTTGGAGAGGGATGAAAGATTTTAGCATCTTCAGGAAAGAAGGAGAAAAGGCTCTCAAGACAATTGATCTAATTACAGACTGATATGAAGGCCTTTCGGTAGCTAGATTTGTTTTTCAGCACTTGATTTCATTAAAGCCAGTGGTGGGGAGTTTATAGGCTCTAAAACTTCTTTGCCAACATCAGCTCTTTATCAAATAAACAGTCACGAAGTGAGGCTTTCTCTTCAGTGTCTCTGCTCTTTTCCCTTTATGCTGAACTGCTTTGTTGGCATGATTTTCTCGTGTGCTTTTCACCACCACTCTTGACAAACTGAAGAACTGTCCTTTGACCTGGGAACCCTTCCTCCTTCCCAGAATCTTGGGACTCTTTCTAGGCACAAAGCGCTTAAAAACCCTTGTTGGGCTACAAAATCGCTACAAAAACTACTGCAAAAATTGTTTTATTTGCTCTGTGTTAATTTCCAAGAACCTTGCCTTGACTGAGGAGCATGTTGCATATTTTTCTCATTGTGGCATTACTAGCTTAAGATGCATTTCTGAGGGAATAACCTCACATGAAGGAGCTCTTCATATTAATATTTTATATTGCAGTAGAATATAGTGTTCAAAATTAAGCTTTGGGTTCTGTTATGAGACTGCATTATTGCTGAAGGTGTCGAGAATGAGGCTGAGTATAGGGCCTTGCCTAAATTAAAATTTAGGCTGTTTTAAGCCTTAATACTGCTACTAAAAAAAAATGGCCTCTGTTCCTTTGTGCTTTATTTTTATGGGTGATGAGAACTTACGTAGTGATATTTCTAAGCCAATAAACTGCCTTGAATAGGATGTTCTTTTTGCTCTGGAACAGCATATGCCACCTTTGGGGCTAGCTTTTTACAAGAGAGAGGGTGGGGGGAAAGCAAAGCGGCAAATGATGTTGCTTTTAAGAAACATCAGTATTTAACATCTGAAGGAGAAAAAGAGAAGTTTCCAAAGATGCAAGTTGAAAATTATCTACAATGGAATAAATTTAAATATGTTAATGACCGTTCCTAATTTTGATAGTGCTATTTAGTTTGTTTTAATAAAATCAAGAACTAAAACTTCTTCTTTTTTTCCATAGATAATTTTGCATTGTGTTGTCTAAATCAAGCACCAGTTTGTGATTCAGGGGATATCCTTAGTATTTACAATAATTCCTGTGTAAAACTTTGGGCTGCCATGGAAGTGTTTTTAACCTAAGATCTTAGCTGATCTTTCAACAGAGAAGATGATCATACTTCTTTGGGCTGTATTGCCCAGGGAGGTTAACAGTCGCATTAGATGGTTTCAAGCTATCTTTAAATACCATCTTATGGGTCCTGTAGCTTTCTTCTTTAGGTAGCACTTTGAAAAGATCAAATGTGAAGTTAGGGCAGTCTGGTCTTTTATTGGTACCTACAGGGATATAGATCAGAAAGTGGATTCTCAGCTCCTGTCATTGTTCTAAATCACAGTAGAGACTATTCTTAAATGTACACTCACCTTCTCTTAAAGGAAGCACTACTGAATTTTGTCAAAACTTTTTTGATCTTTGGTAACCCCAGTTATACAAACAAATGTCTAAATTACAATAATTGCTAAGTTGGAAGCTGTAATGATTTGATGGTGCTAGGACCCACACTGATTATTGCTTGACTTCATAAGACTTCCAGCGCCCAGAATGTTTCGATATGTCTGTGATTCTGTACTTCAAATAAACACACATTTCTACATACGATAATCTACAGCATGAAATGCAACTGTTTGTTTATAAATATGATGATCAGTTTCATAATTAAAACTTCCTAGGTGTGGCAGCTTGGAGCACTGTTCAAAATTGTTAACTGATCTCTGTGAATTCATCTAGCAGTACCCACCTCTGCTGCTTTGCGTGTGAAGTGAAAAACAATGGCAAAATATATAATGTATTTGAGGTCTGATATTTTTGCTCTTTACATCTTGGGAAATTAAAAAAAAAAAATCTGATGCTTAGTGAAGTCACGGCTAGAATTTATTGCCTGTGCAAACACAAACTACCAATGTTGCCTTTCTGTTGGGTTAATTGTCACTTTTACTCTGCTTTCTAGGTAATTTCTCTACATAATGAGAATCAGAATTTCTTTTTTGCCTGATTCCAGCTCCCATTTTTGTCTGGCTTTTGTATCAGAATACACAGGCTTTTTGCCAAGAAAACTTCTAGTTCAGGGGGTGGCTGCTTATATGTTAGACTGGTTTGAACAACTGTAATCCAAACTTTCAAATGTTAGAAAGCATTAACCTTTATTCCAAGGAAGAAATGTGTATATGTTTTGCTGCTGGAATCATGCTAGAATTTAAGTGGGAGGGACCATAACAAAAATATGGACTTGTGCTGGTTTTAGCAATAAACAGAAAAATGGCTTTATACTCTTGTGAAAGTTCTTTCCCACAGTCAAGTTTTTTTTTTCAAATCTTCTCATTATGGTAATTGTTTTTGTTATTGTTTTTTATATTTGCATGACATTGCAACACAGCAGTCCAGCTAACTGGAGAAAATGCAGAACTTGTTTACCCAAAGTAAAGTATCTCTTCAAAAAACTTAAATGTTTGTAGTTTGTCATTGGAATGAAAACAAACAGAGTGACATAACTGTAGCTAAGGCCTGAAATAGTCCCCCTGGCCCCAGTACTGCCAGAGGTCAGGAAGCCTCTAGGATGTTTCTCCTCACTGCAAGTAAAGGTCTAAGTTGCTTAATCCTGATGAGAGACGGGAGCTAAATCACGAACACAGTTTTTAACTTGGCTTTGTAAAACTTCACAAACAGGGAAATACTCTTAACAAAAGGAAATGCTGCAAGGCCAAATAGTTGAAAACATGACTAAGCTAGAAATAGATTTGTAGATGAGCTTACATGTTTTAAAGAGCAGTAGGCAATAGGAAGAAACCATTGGAATGTTTTTGCTGCCTTTCCTGTTACTTTATTATTGATGACTGTTATGTTTTATGTGCAAGCTGGTATTTATAGTAGATAAAACATGCTCTCCAAGGGTTGTTATTGTGTCTATATTGTTGGAAAGGTCTGTTCCGTGTCACAGAGTAGGAGGATGAAATTGCCTGCATAGCAAATAGCTTGGCTGTTGTGTTCTCTCACTCAAGTGTCACCGTTGTTTTTTTGAATTAGTAAAAATACCCAACATTTCTTTTTAATATTATCTTTTAGATAGTCTGTTCCTCTTCCACTTTCTCTCTCAGAAAAATAAGCACACAAAAAAAGTTGTTTCTGATAAACAGAAGCAAAGGAGGGTTTTCCTCAGTCTGCAAAACATGTCTTTAAAGGAATCAAATTCTGGCTTCCAAGAAAGTGGAAGTAGTAGCTTCCCCACCCCTTCCTCTGGGCTGTAGGAAATAGTACCCAAACTTTGGGAAATGCAGTAATTCAGTAGATGTATTTGCTTGCAGGATGCAAAGACAATTGGAGACTCCTCACCTGTAAAACTTTGGGTAACTGCAGGAAGATACTTAGTACTTCAAGGATAAAGAGAGTTGAGTATGGGCCAACACTTGCACTAGGTAGAAGTCTTTGAATGAATGAAACTGTCAGGGGAAATACCTGATTATGTCACTTTTTAATATGTGTATCTTTGTAATGATTTTATCTGGAGAATTATCTGAAGCTGGAGAATTATTTTTAGGGCTTTTATTTCAACTACCTTCTTAACTATCTGTAGTAGAGCAAAGAAAAAGATAAATTTGCAATGGTGTCTCTCTTAGTATGTCTTGGCAGCTAGCACATTAATTTCAATAATATAAAAGCTGTTTCTATCTTGCAACAAAGTATTTAAAAAACTAGTAAACAACCTTTTAAGCCAGCTATTTAGTTACAGATCATGATGTGCTGTGTTTCTAGGGCAGAGGTAGGAACTTAATCCCATGTTGACTCCCATCAGCTCCCCTGCCCCAAATCCATTTAACCTAGCTTATAGTTTTCCTTTCTCCTGGGGAGACTTTTCTCCTAGTGCAGCCTTCTTGAAGAGGGCTGCAAGTTGTCGTTTGTCCATGTTCCTCATTGGCATTAAGAAATGTAGGTGCTTAGTACTAAAGAAGAACAAGATGCAGAGAAGCAGATAAACAGACATCCAGACCAGGAAAGTCCTGCCAAGCCCTGTGGGAGGGATGGGGGAAGAAGACGCCGGGAGGTTTTGTGACTTGATGCTGACAACAGGTCTCCATGACATGCGGGTTGCGGTCAGCGGGCAGGGTGGCTCCTGCCTTCACCCGTCGCTGTGTGTAAAAGTACCTGTGCTTGGCAGAGCAGCAAAGACCTGGCAACACAAACTTCACTTTGCACAGGAGCCCTGTGGCAAAGGGCTTGGCAGGATCCTCTCTGCATCCAGGTTTTTGTCATTACTGCAGACACTTTTTGTCTATGATTGCCAGTGATACCTGTCAGCACAATATGGTGCCAACTATTTTTTCTCTCCTGTTTTGATTTACCTTTTTCTGTTGCTACTATTGACTGGCTAATGTGAAAGGCTTTGGTGTGCAGTGACAATTGTACTTACTGACTTTAATTAGAAAAGGAAATAGACATTATTTTGTCATAGGTAAATAGCATCAGTGCAGCTTTAATAGCATATTAACATAAACTGTCACTGAGATAAAGCTTTAACATCAGTAATCTTATTTCAGCTCTCTGCTCCACAAATTAGGACAATAGCAGCTTAATCTCTGTTACGTATGCTAACACACGGCCCTAATTGCAAAAGCAAGGATGGCAGGGTGGTTAACTCTGAAGGAAGCTAGGCACTGATCTCCAAAGATAGTTTAATATTTCAAGAGATGCCAATATAACTGCAATGCTCTTTGGCTATGCTCATTTAGGTGAATGCAGAGCTTCTGTCCTGATTTGTGTTACAGAAGCCAAAGCTCTGTGTGTGGACTGGGAGGAGAGCAGAAGCAAATGTGATTTAACAGGGAATAGCTGTTTTGATTTTTATCTGTGTTTTTTTAACTAATGTGCAAAAACTGTAATGTAATTGTGACATTGTAAATGTCACAGTACTGTTAAAAATTGATGATACTGGGTCTCACCTAGGTGAAAACTGTAAACTTTGTACATAATGTTGGTTTTGGGGTATTGTCATCTTAGCTCAATATTGTTTTTTTCCTTTTTTAGGCATTGGGAGAGCGTTTTGATTTTTATCTGTGTTTTTTTTAACTAATGTGCAAAAACATGTGTAATGTAATTGTGACGTTGTAAATGTCACAGTACTGTTAAAAATTGATGATATTGGGTCTCCCCTAGGTGAAAATTGTAAACTTTGTATATAATGTAGATTTTGAGGTATTGGCATTTTAGCTCAATACTGTTTTTTCCTTTTTTAGGCATTGGGAGAGTTGCTGCTACTTCTCTAGGAAATTTAACAAATCATAATTCGGAAGATTTACCTCTTCCTCCTGGCTGGTCAGTGGACTGGACTATTAGAGGAAGGAAATACTACATAGATCACAACACTAACACAACTCACTGGAGCCATCCCCTGGAGCGCGAGGGGCTGCCCCCAGGGTGGGAGAGAGTCGAGTCTGCAGAATTTGGAGTGTATTATGTGGATCACATCAATAAAAGAGCTCAGTACAAACATCCTTGTGCTCCCAGGTATGCAAGAGATCGTCTTGTATTTTATGATTTTTTTGGTTAAAGTGCAACTGTTCTTACCTCGTATGTATTATGCTCAAAACATCTTAATTCTAGAAGTAAGTTTGCTGGTTCTTGACTAAGACTTTTCAAAGTTGCAGTTGTTGGTTTTTTGTCTGATTTATTCTGTCCTCAGTTTAGAAACAGGATATTGTTCCTAACTCTCTAGAATGAGGCAGTTCTTCTCTTCAGCTATCAGTAAATTGCTGAGAAAAGAAGTGAGCTGCAAATAACAACAACAAAAAAAAAGGTGTTTAGGAGACTATCTGAACAAATAATCCACCGTTCAGGTAGAATATATGTTAACTTTTCTCTAGAATGAAAATACATTTTAACTACTTATTATACAGAGATAGAATGATGTTAGTATACTCTAAACTCTACCACTTATTTCCTGCTATTGCAGTTTTTATTGTTTCCTGAGAAGAAAAAGTTTAGTATATAGAACAAAAGATAAAGAAATGAGGATATCCTTTGGTGTTATAAATGGAACAACTTTTAGTAGTTTCTGCTTGAATATGCTTATTCTAAAATGTGAAATGGTAGAATATTGGTTGAATTAATACTTGCATTTTTTAGTCTTTCAAAATAAATTTGCTTTTTGATCTACTTTAAGATGCAGGTAGTGGGCACGAGGTGAAGAGATTTAAGGTGAATTTTTTAGTGTGCTAGCAGAGTACTAACAGATGCGACTGCAAAGATGCACTAAAACAGCAACAGAAAATTGCCCTCAGTAAAGGGCTGCTGGAGTGACACTCTGTGTGGTGGCATTAATCAGCCTTTGCATGCGTTAATCTATGCATTGGTTAAAGATGCCAGTTTAATGATATCACTGTGCCTAACTTGTTGCTCGGAGGTTACTGAATTTATGTTTTCCTTTGTACAGTGTCCCCCGTTACGACCAGCCTCCCCCAGTGACCTACCAGCCCCAGCAAGCTGAGAGGAGCCAACCCCTCCTTGTGCCTGCCAATCCCTACCACACTGCCGAGATCCCGGACTGGCTGCAGGTCTATGCCAGGGCTCCTGTAAAGTGAGTTTTTTCCTGTGCTTTTCATAGTGCAGTAGCTCTGTGCAGTTTAGAAGCAAACTCAATTCCTTTTGTTAATTAAAAGTAGAGTCCTCTTATTGCTTGTAGAGGAAGAAGTTGTACCAGGTATTTTCAGGCCAGAAACATGATAAAAAGTAGGTATAATGATATCCACAGCCCGTAAATGAATTAATGATGTTAGGGAAAAAGATATATAACCCATTATTCCTTTCCCAAAATGTAGCTGACATCTGGTGAGGCGATTTGACACTTCATTCTGCTAGTGAAAATCAGGAACTGTGAAATAAACATAACTCCTGTATTTGTGCCATTTTTATCAAAAGATTAGAATCTGTTTCATCACATTAGTCTGCTTTGTACTATACATTACTTGAAACCACCAGAGTACCTCTTGCAGTGGACATAACTTGCAAATGCTGCACTTAAGAGTGGAGAAGATGTGCTTTACTTTCAGCATGTTTGTAAGAATAATGGGACCATGTGGCTTATAAATGATATATTGAGTGTGTGTGTGTGTATATATATATATACGTGTGTGTGTATATATATATACACACATATCTCAATTTCAGAGTATTAGCTTCCCAGTTTCTTACCCTTCTTTAAAAAATATCTATGCAAATGGTCCTCTGAACTTAGCAATCTTACATTCAGACTGTCTGTCTTTTTTTCTTGCAAGAAGCAATGCTATAGAAACAGGGGATCTCTTCCCCCAGGAATAGATTTGAGTCCCCATAATGAAACAAATAGTGTTTGCAGCCTTCAGCCCTGCTGAAGAGTAACACTAAATAGCAAAGCAATAAAAAACCCAGATATGATTTTAATAATTATCAAAGTGTGTGCTTTTAATAAGGAGAGTATGGAGAAAGTGTTTACACATTACAGCAGTGAACAGTCTATAGTTGCACCTTCACAGGCTGCATGTGACACTTGCTGACTTCCATCTTAAAAAATGCGGGTTGTTTTGTTTGGTTTTTTAGCTGCATCTAGTAACTATAACTTGAATGGGGTTTATTACTGCTTGTGGCTGCTAGGCTTGCCAGCAGCCCAGAAAGATTTAAATTGGCCTGAAATCCAGCAGTGTGCTTATGCACCTGGGAGCTACTAAGTTCCTGTAACCTATGGGAAGACTTGTTTCCTAGAAATACTTTTAGGTTCTGGCTGCAACCACATTTCTTTATTTAGACCTTTGGCACATCCAGGCAATGCGATTTTAAATGTTTCAGCAGGTTTGTTGAATGGCACTTCTTGAAACTTGAAAATGTATAGCTTAAGGTTATGATGAACTTCAATCTAGTTGGTTGAGACAATATTAAAAATATTTAATTCATCCAAAGAGTTAAAATACTGTTTGCATAGTGTAGAGGAATCAAAAATCCTGTATTTTGCAGTATCCTTTTAATGTTCTTCCAGTAAAGCAGTGCTGGCAGTAAAAATGAGTGTTCACTTTATTACAGCACACAAGGATTTAGTTCTCAAACACTCTTGTGAGGAAGCTAATTCTGTGTTACATTAGTATTAGATTGTCAACGAGCCAGTAACACGTTCAACAGTGTTGACCAAACTCTGAGTCCCAGAGCTGCGCGTTTGTCTTGCAGAGTTCTGGGGTGTGAATGGAAGTAATCGAGCAAAATGTTTTCGTGGTGCAGAGAAGAGTATTTTTTGCCTTTGGAAATTGTCAAATTTTGCGATTTTTGCACTTGGGAATTGAGTAGTTATCGCAATTATTAATTTTTAATTTGTATAAACTGTAGTTTTCCACACAAATAATTGTGGTATGTTTCATCACATTTTTTACATCTGTGACTGTAATTTCAGGTTTAGCTGAGATTTAGGTCAGCCATTGTTGCCGAGCAGCAAAAATAGATGTTAGCTTTATTTTGTCTGGTTTCTCTAAGGAATGAGAATTCTGTCCACTGGAAAAAAAAGTTAATGGGCACATTGGCAGGTGTTAGCCATAATGTATTTCTGTTTTGGTGAAAAATTATCAAGCTTGTGAGAACAGAAAGAAAATATTTGGCTCACTAGACAACAGCAAGAGCGTAAGTGCAGTAATCGGGATCTTAACACGGTGAAGTCGAGAGTCTCTTGCATTTAAGGCCTTGCTGGTTCAGCCTCACGCTGAACGCATCCTGTTTTGTGTTAAATGCTTGTTATCCTCTGAGAATACTAGAAATAGGGTCTTCTGGCTGCGTGTCCTCTCTAGCAAGCTCTTTCCTTCCCATCCAGGAGTGAAGCGGTCTAAGCTCTGCTGGAATTTTGTACTAACTTGCTTTCTTCCCTCCGTTTCTGTTTTCTCCTCTTAGAAAATGTCTCGGAGTCTAGGCAGGCTCCCTGGGAGGCTCCCTAGGCATTTGTATTCTGTGTCCTGCTCCACTAGACATCCCAGTGCCAAATGTTCCCAAACTATGGTCTTTTTTTGGATTTGCTGGATTTTAACAATTGAATCATTTTTCAGGGTTAAAAAGTATGAATACAGTAAGAATGGATGCTGCCATCTTTGACACGATACCATGAGACAAACTGCTGGACTGATTTATAACAGAAAGTTCATATCCCTTTCTCAAAATGAAGTATTATCCAAAGACCAATGAACCGTGTCTTGTTAAATGCTTGGAAGCCCTGATCTAGGTTGTCCTGCCAAATGTAAAAAGCTTAAAAAAAGCTTATATATCCGAGCCATGATGTATATCCCAGCACTCCACTGCCTGCTGTTAAAACGCCCAAGGAAACTGTATTTCTGCCATCAAGTGATGGCAGTGGCTGGCAGCAGAAGTGAGTTATAAGGAACAGGCAGCTCTTAATGCAGCCCAGTGTGGACCTGTCTCCGTGTTCCTCGGGAGAGGGATGCGATGCCGTGTGGCACCGGGCAGCGCGTGGGCTGTGGAGCTGGCAGCGTCGCCTTGCTGTTGCAAGGGTCTTGCTGCAAACAGTGGCACAGGCCTCCTAACCATCACTTAAAGACCCCAAAATCAAAGACGTGCAGGGTTTTGAATGGGCCCGTTCTTGTTAAGCCCCTGCTGGTGGCTTGATAGTTATTTGTGCTTTTTCCTGCACTCAGCACCTCTCTGGAGAGTCCAAGTGGGGCCCTCGGACTGAAAGCGATGCCCATGTGCTGGATTTCCCAAGGAGCTGCCAACGCTGCCAGGTAGCGAGGAGCTGAAAGCCCAAGGTTTAGTTGGTCTGGGCTGCTTCCTGCACGAGGGGGTTGTTCCACGCTGCAGCTCCCGGGAAACCTGCCCACGCTATTGCCAGGGATGCAGCTTCGTTTCCTTCCCGCTCATCTCCTGGCACTGCTGCCTCTGCAAGAACAACCCCATCCCCTGGGAATCCTCCTGGCTGAGGAGCGCGTTTGAGTAGATGCCCCTGACCCAAACCTGGTGGATGTGTAAATCAAAGTCGTGAGAAGGGCTGCTGCAGCGTGAAGAATGGGAATGCAGTCTAGAAAGAGGTTTATTTATTACTTAATAATCATGGACTTAACCCACTGTGGCAAGAGCTGCTGTGGGCCAGCATCCCGCTGCTTTCTCCTCGCAATTCCAATTCCCGGCTCCCGGGGAACGTGCCGAACGCAGCATCTCCTGCTGGATGTGATGGCAGAGCCGCTGTGCCGCGACGCGGTGCAAGAGCAGGGCCTCTTAAATCCCCCCTCTGCAACACGGCTGGGATTTCCTTGGAAAAACCTGCGTAGCAATACAAGGTTTGTACCAGGGCCTTGGAAATCCATCCTCCCTGCCACTGGCACAGAAAGAGGTATGTTCGGGAAGAGCAAGGAAGAAAATTCTTACCTCCTTACAGGGAGGGCTGAGAAGCAGTCACATCTCCATAGAGTTTGGTCTGGTGGCAGCTAAAAAGTGACCAATTGCAATGCAGAACATCCCAGAAAATACATGGATCAGTGTTGTAAGGGTCGTCCTGAAAACTTGGGAAAAGCTGAGCTGTGTTTGCACGGCCAGCCTTTATCCTGGTGCTTTACTCCCTTCAATAGGGTTGGGTGGTTTGTGAAGTTCTGCGTAAAATGGTAAATGAAATTATTCCAGACACTGAATTTGGGGAATACTGAGCCATGTGGTTGGTGTAAAAGATGATCAGCACAAGTGAGTCACTGATGATTGTATAAGCCTCTATATCATAAAGGCAGACTTTATTTGACAAGCAATCTAGTTCCCTCCTAGACATTAAGGAGTGCCGGTTTTGATGGTGGAAAATTCCTTGCAGGAGAAAAGGCAGAGCCTTGATTAGTCACCAGGGCTGCCTGGCAGCTACGACCCAAAACTCCAGGAAACGCCTGCTGGACTCAAACAGGGAGGCTGGAAGAGGCTTCTCCTGTGTTTAGTTTATCCATATATACATGTATAATGTCAGTAGCTTTGATATCCAAAAGGTGTGATCATCAAGGGATGTTTAAAGTTTGTCAGAAAGTGAAGAAAACATTAGAAATGTGCAGAGTGGTTCAAAATTGTTCTCTTTAACAAAAAGCGTCCCTGGGAGCTCGACGCTCCTGTAAGGAAAGCGGTGCCGAATTGTGTAGGAGAGTGTGAGAGGGAAAGGCTGAGTATATTTAGCTCCCTTGTGGTTAGCAGCGCTCAGAAACATTCTCTGTGTGTTGTTTTTCCTGCTTTGTGGATCGATGCTTCCGCTTTGCCTTGCCCTTCGCTGTGCTTGGCCCTCCGTCCTGCGGGGCGACTGCTTTGTCTTTTAGCAAAGCTGGTCCCTGCGTCGCCCGTATCGTAAGGGCTCGTGTTTTCCTTGCAAACTCCCACCTCCTGCAGGTTCCTTGTGGCGAGTGTCCGTCCTCCCTGTGGAAGGAGTCTTGGCAGGCCCTGTTTGTGGCTGTTCATTCTGGCCTAATCTTATTCCTGCCTCCCCATAGCCTTCAGTGACACCCCCAATCCACTCCACATCCCCTTGGTGTTCATGACCCACGCTCCCCGATTCCCTGATTGCTGCTAATGAGCCAAGAGCCCTCGTTAAGGCTCTAATGAGAGCAGCAGTGTGCACTGGGGGAAGACTTGCACCCTTCTGTCAGGGAAGGCACTTGCTGAGGATTAGGGTAAGCTGTTAAAATAATTTATTTTCCCCTGTGTTACTCTAATTGTAAAACACGTTTTACTGCTAAACATTTTAATGTTGCCAAAGTGCCTTTTCTCCCTTGTTTTATTATAACCAGTTAGTGGCACCTTTAGCCTTTCTAGAATTTGGTTTTATAAAGTGTTTTGTGGTTTTTAAGTGGTTCTGTTTTTTTCAGCCTAGCGTTAAGTGATATTTCTCCAAATCAGAGTCACAACTGCCTTTAGGTGCTAATTACTGCAAGCTTCCTTCCTAGAAGACAGGAAGGAATCCAATCAATGCATATTGCTAGAAATCACCTTTTATCTCCTTCAAAAAAGAGGAGGACGCAGAAACCCCGCGTGGCCGGGCCGCGTCGCTGAGCGTCCCGCGTGTCCCCCCAGGTACGACCACATCCTGAAGTGGGAGCTGTTCCAGCTGGCCGACCTGGACACGTACCAGGGGATGCTGAAGCTGCTCTTCATGAAGGAGCTGGAGCGCATCGTGAAGCTCTACGAGGCCTTCAGGCAGGCGCTGCTGTCCGAGCTGGAGAGCCGCAAGCAGCGGCAGCAGTGGTACGCGCAGCAGCACAGCAAGAACCTCTGAGGCTCCTTCCCGGGAACGCCGCCGGGTTCCCAAGGTTTTCCCAACTCGGAACAAGCGCTTGCGTTGAAGAGGCAGCTTATTTTCGTTGACGTTGCACCTTCGTTGTTATCCTCTTGAATATTTTTCTACATGTATTATGTATTGTTTATAAAAATGAAAAATGTTTGTTGCTTTTTTTTTTCTCCATACAAAAATCTAGTTTATTCTGAAAGCCAGTGTGGAGTTGAATCAGACTTGATTCTGCTGTCTTCTTCTAGCAGTCAGCTGTATTATTAAGAAGCTGACCATATATTTTTAAATGGCAGTAGATACAATTATATGAAGTGTCCAGGATGCAAAACATCGTTAAAGTCCAAATTAATAATTGGGTTTCTTTCCCTCGCGATTTTGTATCTTTCTCTCTAGAGAGGCCTGTTCTTTGTTTACAGCTTTAATGTACAGAACACTGAGACTGTTACTTCTCAATAACAACTAGTGCTATAATCACACAGAAGATTTCCTCAATCTGAGCAAAACGCTTCATGAAAGTGAAGTGTGAGTTGCCTTATTTTTTACCTTGTTTAAAGCATTATTACTTTAGATTTACTGCTAGTTTTCTCAGAAATAAGAGGGCAAAATACCTTCCTAAAGACCAGGCTCACTAAGCTTGCAGGTTTGAAATGTGGAGTAAACTGCATTTTATGAAACCCAGTTGCATGGGGTGGTAATAGACTGACCTCACCCAGCTCCCGGCCAGCTGTACCTTACCATGGCACAAAAATCAGGGATGTAACAACACTTTTTTACTGAGCTTTTTCTTGTAATAACCCTTCCTTACAGGGGAAAATTTGTACTTGTACAGTTGCCCTCTCCAGCATTTTCATTTGGTTCATTGATTTGTCCTGAGATGTTATTTATGGATTCTTTAGTGCAATAAACATTGTTGCAGACAAATACATTTCTTGTAAATCCTATTAATTCAATAAAAATCTCTGTTTAATGAGCGCAAGGCTGCGGTGACTGACTTCTTCCTTTGAAAGGGTCGAACGGGCTGTTCCTTGGACGCAGGAATGGAGCGGATCCCGACGCGGCTGCCGGCGGCGCCGGATCCCGACGCAGTGCTGGATTCGAGTGGCTGGTGCCTGTCGGGATGGAGCTGCACGAGGTGGTTGGGAATTCACCCCCGCATGGAAATTCGGCCTTCTGGACCGTGCCAGAGCATCCCGGAGCTCCCCTCCTCGGCGCATCCCGGAGCTCCCGTCCTCGGCGCATCCCAGCTGGTGGGTGGTTGTCCTGCTGCCTCGTGCTGTCCTTCTCCAGGCCTCGTGGCTCCAGCTTTGCCTTTGGCTTCGCTTCATGTAGAAGCTTTACCCTAAGGAATGGGAGCCTTCGTTTCACCCCAGACGTGGGAACGGGGCTTCGTTTCACCCAAAAATGTGGGAAATGGGGCTTTGTTTCACCCCAAACGTGGGGAAAGGGGCTTCGTTTCACCCCAAACATGGGGAACGGGGCTTGGTTTCATCCCAAATTTGGGAAACCTGGCTTCGTTTCACCCAAAACTTGGGAAACCTGGCTTCATTTCACCCCAAATTTGGGAAACGGGGCTTCATTTCACCCCAAACATGGAAAACCTGGCTTCATTTCACCCCAAACATGGGAAACCTGACTTCATTTCACCCCAAACATGGAAAACCTGGCTTCATTTCACCCCAAACTTGGGAAACCTGGCTTCATTTCACTCCAAATTTGGGAAACCTGGCCTTCGTTTCACCCCAAACTTGGGAAACGGGGCTTCATTTCACCCCAGATTTGGGAAACCAGGCTTCGTTTCACCCTAAACTTGGGAAATAGGGCTTCGTTTCACCCCAAACATGGGAAACAGCTTCATTTCACCCCAAACGAGGGAAAGGAGCTTTCCCATCCCCTTGGCAGAAGCATCTCCGGGGTTGCACCCGCTCAGCACCGCGTCCAAGCGGCCACGTCCAAACCGAAGCCCAAATCCGGAGCGCCAAAAGGGGGCCAAGAAAACACGGAACAAAAAAGAGAAGTGCTAAACTCTGGCGAGGACCGCTGCTCCGGACGGAATGATTAGGAACCGAAAGCCAACTTTAATAGTTCCGATGATAAAAGAATAGAACTGTTGAGCACACTTTCTATGCACTAGAATGAATATATACAGAAACGCAGTGAAACTTCCTCAAATACATGTACAAAGTGATATTTTGTGCATTAGTTATGAACAAAAATGTACGCTTTTCCTTACAATATCATTAATATTCTGTAGCAGAAGTGTCCTTACAATTCCTGGTAAAGCAAGTTAATACTTTTTTTTATTACATTGATGTAATTAAGCAGCTCATGGCAGATATGAGCTAAAGTTAATTGAAGAAAACTCTTGATTACATGTTGCACTCGATCAAGTATCTGAAAATAAGTTGCCCTTTGAGTAACGCTAGGTTTGCATTTTGTTGCAACATCATGTGCATGACGGTGAAATCATTAATGAAGTTATACTAATTAAAGGACGAAAATAAAATGTCATAAATTAGCTGGGAATTACACTCGGCGGTGCAAATTAAAAGCACTTCGTATTTGCAGCGAAAGAAATATGTACATATTAACAAAACGATAACCATGCCGACATCTTCCCACCCAGGAGCGCGGCGTCGCGGGAACACGAACACGTGGGACCGTCGCGAAGGCGGCCCCGGGGACGCGACGCGGCTGCCAGGGCTCGGGGCCGCCCTCGTGCAGCGGCCGCC